ATAGGAATAAATGTACAGATGGGGGATAGGGTAACATTTGCAAGATCAGAACTAAATTTACCAGGTGAGGCCTACAGTTAATTGCGAAGTCTTCCTGTCCAGGATACTGTATTGCATTCTCATTCCCCCTTGTTTTCTGTCATCATCCTCGTCCAACATTATCCTGTGTTCTGTGCCCACTGAAAATACTCAGTCTTCACGATGTTGCTTTGGGGTTTCCTTTCCCCTGTTAGGTTTCCAACCTGCCTGGAAATATTTTTATGTCAACAAACCTGGGGTTTCTCCCAGGCCTGTTGGATGTTTCTCTCTTGTGTATGTATGAATGGTACAGTCAAACCTTGGTTGTCGAACGTACCGTATTTTTTGCTCTATAAGACTCATTTTTTCCCTCCTAAAAAGTCAGGGGAAATATGTGTGCGTCTTATGGAGCGAATGCAGGCTGCGTAGGTATCCCAGAAGCCAGAACAGCAAGAGGGATTTCTGCTTTCACTGCGTAGTGATCCCTCTTGCTGATCTGGCTTCTGAGATTCAGAATTTTTTTTTTCTTGTTTTCCTCCTCCAAAAACTAGGTGCATCTTGTGGTCTGGTGCGTCTTATAGAGCGAAAAATACGGTAATCCGTTCTGGAAGACCGTTTGACTTCCGAAATGTTGGACAACCGAGGTGTGGCTTCCAGTCGGTTGCAAGAACTCCTTGCACTCAAGCAGAAGCCACGTCAGACTTTTGGGTTCCAAAAAACGTTCAAAAAACAGAGCATTTACTTCCGGGTTTTCAGCGTTCAGGAGCCAAAACATACAATAATGGAGGCATTCGGGAACCAAGGTTTGACTGTACCATTTTGGCTGCAAGGATGAGCAGTGGGAGAGTTGAATTCACTATGGGTACATCAGGGCTGGGGAATCTGTGACTCTTTAGATGTTGCTTGACACCCAAGTCCCATCATCCTTGTCCATATAGGTCATGCTGACGGGGGCTAATGGGTGTTGGAGTCTAATAACATCCTGGAGGGCCACAGGTTGAACAGCCCCGGTATATGTGATGGGAGTACCAAAAACATCCTGCTTATTGGCATGCTGAACATAAAGGCAACATGTAAGCAGCAACATTTGGGGCACCAAATATGAAATAAGCAAGGCAGCACAGATCTGGCCAATTTAATTTGCTGCCTGCGTTGCTGTATCTGGGCTCTGCAAACATAGGCTATCATTTTTGTGTCTCTGCTGTTTTTGATATAGGCTAGGCTGGTGGTGTTCTTCATAAATGCCATTTCCATGCTTCTAGTAATACTACTGACATTGGGTAATAAATCTATTGCGTTGAGGAGGAAGTACATGGAGACATGGGGAAATGAATTGACTCTTTCACTGCTGCCTGCATAAAAAGTGAGATATGGGGCAATATATCACCCCAAGGCCGGAAATGGTTGCAAGGCAGTTCCATTGAACCTGGTCTGTTGAATCCACAGTTTCCCCAGGGCATTAAGTGCATTCTGATGACTGCCAGTTAAGATTTCAAAACAGAAACCCTCCTTTTTTGCAAAAGATTTATACAATGAATTCAGCCTTTTACAACAAAACCCCTCCCCCAATTTGTTAAACTGGAAATAGCTTATTTTCAAACTAGCATGTGGATGATAGCAATCAGCCAATCTGGGGCCATCACTTCCTATCCCAAGTGACACTGAATATTTACACAAATCACGATGCATGGGAAAATGTGTTTTTTGCCATTGCTTGCTATTGTGATTTGTCGCCACATGCAGAAGGCAGGAGAGAGCTGAGCCTACAGAGTTAACAGCTGGTGATATATCAGGATGTTGAAAACCAGATATAGCCCAGCCTTAATCTCAAGGGTTTCAGGAAGGAGTCTTTGCCTCGACATGCCAGGGACTGTCCAATAAAAATGGCATTGGACAGGTCAAGTAGAGATGGGCATTGCAGATAAGACACAACTTGATATCCAATATTAGTCATAACTCTTAAGTCAGACCTATTGAAATTAATGGGCACTACGAACACAGGGACATTATTTTCATTAGGTCTGTTCTGTGACTAGAACTCGGTTGAATACAAGCCACCATCTTTAGATAAAACATCTTCAGATAAAAGCCAGATGGAATGAAGTGATCTTTCCTGAATGACAACTCAGGAGGGGTTGCTTGAACCTCATGTTCCACAGTTTGGGTGCCACCACTGAGAAGGCCCTGATGACCATGCTTTCAGTGTATATGGGATACAGAGAAGGTCCCTTCACTAGCACTTAGGGAGTTGGTAGACTGATGCAGGAGAAGGTGGTCCATTTGGTGTGGACCCAAGCCACTTAGGGCTTAAAAGGTATTTCCTAACATTTTTAAATTGTGCCCAGAAGCTGATAGCCAGAGGAGCTACTGCAAGATCAGTGTAATATGAGTAGGGCCCCGCTTACATACTTGCTGCTGCATTCTGGGATCAATGGAAGTTCCCAAAGGAACTTCATAGTTAGTCCCATGCAGATTGTGTTGATATAAGGTAGTTTAGACCAGCCTTTCTTAACCTTGGTTCCCCAGTTGTTGGACTACAACTCCCATTATCTCTGACCACTGGTCCTGCTAGGTAGGGATGATGGGAGTTGTAGTTCAACAACAGGTGGAGGAGACCCAAGGTTGGGAAAAGCTCGTCTTAGGCTACTGTAAGTTGTGTGTTAAATAAACTGGTGGAGGACAGTTCACCTTCACCAAAGCAAGTCAGTGTGTATGCTGAGATTATGCTGAAGCACAGAAAGGCTAATCCTAGGACAAGGGTCAGCAACCCGCGGCTCCGGAGTTGCATGTGGCTCTTTTACACCTTTGCCGCGGCTCCGGGGCGGATACTAGCGAGGGGAGGAGGCGCATTGTGTGGCCCCGACACTCCCCACTGTTTTAAATGGCACAATGGTTTTGCGGCTCCCAGTTGTTTTTTCTTCAGTCCAAGTGGCTCTTTTTGTCTTAAAGGTTGCAGACCCCTGTCCTAGGACTATAAAATTTGCGGTTTATACAACAAGAGCTGGCATTTCTAGGAGGCTAATTACCACACTTCTGTGGTACATCTGCCCACGGTTGCTTTCCAGGATATTCTCTGGATATTCTCTGCTTCACCTAGCAGGCCACAGACTGTGGGTCAACCCAGTTGGTGCAGTTTATGTGAAACTTGTGTGGCACAAAAATATATATACAGTGGTGCCTCGCAAGACGAAATTAATTCGTTCCGCGAGTTTTTTCGTCTTGCGATTTTTTCGTCTTGCGAAGCACGGTTTCGGAAAAGTTTTGGAAAAGCTTCAAAAATCACCAAAGTCTTCAAAAACCTCAAAAAAGGCTACCACACCGCGTGCTATGAGTTGCTCCTCGAAGTCAAGTCGCAACTGTATTAACGGTTTTAAGAAAAAGGAAACAAACTTGCAAGACGTTTCCGTCTTGCGGAGCAAGCCCATAGGGAAAATCGCCCTGCGAAGCAACTCAAAAAACCAAAAACCCTTTCGTCTTGCGAGTTTTCCATCTTGCGAGGTACCACTGTATGTGTCTTTCTGCAAGCAGGATTATTGCAGGCTCAGGGCCTCTTGAATGAGAAAGGAAGCTTGATTTCTGCAAGGTTAGACCTTTCTTTCAAACTGGTGGGTTGTAGAGGCAAAGAGAGATTCCCTGGCTGTCCCATCCCCAAAGCCTGGGAGCTGTTGTTTGTGAATAGTGAGGTGTAAACTACAGTTCCCAGGATTCTTTGGGAGAAGCCCTGACTGTTAAAGTGGTATCCATGTGCTTGGAATGTAGGGTACGGATATGACCCCAAACTCTTTCACTGTTAGCCATCAGATTCTCGAATCAGTGAATCTAGTGTGGCAGACCCAGAAGATTAGCCTCTTTTCTTTTCTTTTTTTAAACAAGCTGTCAAGACCTTTCTCTTCTCAGAAGCCCTTTTATGAGTAAGATATTGTCTTAACGCCAGCTGCTTTTCCATCGGCCCCATTAACAATGTTTCATTGTTTCATTGCTGTTGTTTTATTGGTCCTTTCTGGACTTTATCTTTCAACCAGCAATTGAGAACACTTTATTTGCTATAAATTTGTCAAATAAAAGTGTTAAGATTCTTGAAACGGTAGAATGCGTTGTACAGTGGTACCTCGGGCTACATACGCTTCAGGTTACATACGCTTCAGGTTACAGACTCCGCTAACCCAGAAATAGTGCTTCAGGTTAAGAAATTTGCTTCAGGATGAGAACAGAAATCGTGCTCCGGCGGCACGGCAGCAGCAGGAGGCCCCATTAGCTAAAGTGGAGCTTCAGGTTAACAACCGTTTCAGGTTAAGTACGGACCTCTGGTACGAATTCAGTACTTAACCCGAGGTACCACTGTACCATTTCAGACTGCAAGTGGGGAATCATCTTTCTGAATTCTTAAAAAAAAATAAACTTTTTTTTTTTTTTTAATCCTCTCTTCAGGTCAATAGCGTGAATATTAGAGTCTGGAATGGGCTGGTGCCTTTCTTTCTGATCAGCCAGAAGAATCTATTGTCGTTTTTAAGATAAAATAAATCTGAGGAGTATTAAGAATTATCTCCCCCTGCTTGGAGTACACAGTATTTCCCCAAGAGTCTATCTACCTTAGTTGGGTAATCTGCGGCCCTGCAGATGTTGCTGGACTCCAACTCCCATCAGCCCCAGCAGATTTAGAATGACCTGTAACTTTAGGTGCCTTATAAATTAACAGTCACAACAATTATAATTGCAGTGATAATCAGGCAGAAGGGTGGCAAAGCTTCTTGAGCCCAGTGGCATCACAGAGAGGCAGTGGCTCCAAATTGTATGGAGGGGAACAAACAGGCTCCCAGAAGATCCACAATTCAAGATCACCCATTACTGATCACCCTGTCAGAGCTTTTTATGATGTAAAAGGGCCCCCAGAAAGCATGCATTCCCTCCTCCATGGTGTACGTGCCTATGCGCCCGAAAACTGCACTAACGCGTACATTTGCTTTTGTCTTGGTTCTTTGCAGATTTTTGCCATCTTTGCATTTGCCACCTGTGGAGGTTACAGTGGAAAAACCTCTCTTATCCTCAACTGCTACAATGGCACAAACGCTTCTCTTCAAGCCAACTTTGCGTATCCTTTCAGGTAAGAGCATCTATCCCTTTGAGGAACGCTGCCACTTGTGGCACAAAGAGAGAGGCCCTTCTAATTGTCCACGCAACAAGCACGTCTCTCTCCAAAGAGCTGCCCTACCTAGACTTGGGGACTGTCGTGTGTGTGGACAGGAATGGCTGGTTCCAGGTTTGAGGAGGCTGTGGGCAAGGTGCCTTTCGAAGCTGGGGCCTGTCGTTGAGACCTTCAGGGCTTACCTCGCCGTGAGAGGCAATGCCAGCCTTGTTGCTGAGCAGAATGAGGTGGCTTGTGGGGTTTTCTGCCTCAGGCGCCAAAATAACTTGACTGGTTTTGGGCAATGGGGCGGGGAAGGTGGCACCATTTGCTGCTCTGCCTCGGGCAGCAAAATGCCTTTCGCTGACCTTGATGGGAGACCACAGCGGTTCTTACAGCAGCGCAGCAACGACAGCTGGGTCTGGCTGCCATTTCAGTTTCCCACAATCCCCTGGGGTTGCAACATGGAGGGCCATCTTGGGAAAGTCAAATGGCAGTGATTATTTTGGTGTCCGATGTTGCTTGGAGCCCTGGGTCAGAAAGAAGAGGTCCCAATCCAGCGGCAAGGTGGGCCCTGAGGACGAGGGAGGTCTAGTAACCACCATATAACATTTTAGACCATATAACACCATTCCTGAGCACCCACATCTCTGGTTAATATGTGGTGTTAAAAGGTGTTCAGTACTTTATTGGCCTGCAGCCTTGCGTTTGTTTCTTTGAAGTGTATGCTATTGTTTTGACAGCTGTAATCCTTTTCCTCTTTACGTGTTTTAACATTATTAAATTAATTTAAAAAACCCAACATTAGCTGCTACAGATGCTCTTATACTTTTTTTTTTTTTGCAACTAAGGCTACAATCCTATGGCAGAGCCCTATGCTGAATTGGTGCCTCCCTCCCACCCCTGTTTACCTTAATATTAGTTTGGCCACCTACCCACCAAGTGAAGCAAGGCTCTTTGCTACCAATTCAACGTCCTCCTTCCTCTGAGAAATGCCAGGGGGATCTTCTTCAGAGTGAGAGCTTCTGGGCAAGATGGTTTTAAACTTAAAAGAGTTTTAAAAGTTACTATGGTTTTCAAAGTTGAAGGAAAGAACAATTGTCAGCTACGAAGCGCAGGCTGAAATGTTGCATGGGGATTTATTTTGCATTTCCCCCGTTTGGTTGGGAATCTTGCGAATGGAAAATTGAGCTTCAGCATTCTCTCTCTCTCTCTTTCTCTCTCTCCGGAACTCAAGGTTGCACCAGTCTTCGTTTGACATTCCTTCAAGCAAGCAGTGTCACAGCATCTGGAACAGTACTTACTACCTGGTGGGAGACTTCGCCTCTCCCGCTCAATTTTTTGTCACTTTTGCAGTCTTCGTGTTCCTGTACTGCATGGCTGCTTTGGTGCTCTACGTGGGTTACTTGCACTTGTATCGGGGCACTGGTAAACTCCCCATGATTGTAAGTTGGCAACGCCTTGCTTCCCCATAATTTATAGGACTCAATAAGGATATGCCTATCAGTTGGGCATTGAGTCTACTTGATTTGTGTGTTCCATGCTCCAAGAGAGAGCTGTAAATGGGCTGCTATATCTGGAACCAGTGCTTTTTTAAAAAATTGTTTAGGGGTACTCTCATTTTGACTCAAGAAAATCACAATTTTATTGTTCAGATTGGGGAAAATAAATACAGTAAATGGACAAAAGTAGAAAAATTCACAAAATGTTTAGGGGTATGTGTGCCCCTACGTCCCTCCAGAAAAAAGCACTGTCTGGAACAATCCAACCACCACAAAAAATATTTAAATTGGTGATTCCTATTCTTAATATCATTACATTCAGATTGTCACTTGTTTGTGGACCATTTCTGTTAGTAGTAGATGGTGGTGGAACCGGCGACCCTCAAAGGTTGTTGGACTCCATCTCCCATCAGCCCAGTCAACATAGCTGGTTCTGCACAGCTTTAGAGATTGTTCTGTGTACTTCTTGGTTACTAACCGTGGATATTTTACCAAACGAAACACTTTTAAATCCTTATTTTAAAAAGTGTTAGGAAGTGGATTGTTTTGGAAGATAGGAGTTCTCTTTAAAACCCTAGAGATCTCTCAAAAGTTAACTTCTGATTAAATTAAAGCTATTTTAATACACAACATATGGGATGTGGGTGGCACTGCGGGTTAAACCACAGAGCCTAGGACTTGCCGATCAGAAGGTCGGCGGTTCGAATCCCTGCGACAGGGTGAGCTCCCGTTGCTCGGTCCCTGCTCCTGCCAACCTAGCAGTTTGAAAGCATGTCAAAGTGCACGTAGATAAATAGGTACTGCTCCGGCGGGAAGGTAAACGGCGTTTCCGTGCGCTGCTCTGGTTCGCCAGAAGCGGCTTACTCAAGCTGGCCACATGACCCGGAAGCTGTATGCCAGCTCCCTCGGCCAATAAAGCAAGATGAACGCCGCAATCCCAGAGTCGGCCACGACGGGACCTAATGGTCAGGGGTCCCTTTACCTTTACCTTAATATACAACATATGGGCATTTTGTACTATTTAATATGCCTTTCCTGGGTGTGAAGCATCCAGGGCCCATACCTGACCTCTGGATGTATTCGAGAGGTTACCCTTGAAGCTGGGCAGGTGTGGTGCACTCCAGATGTTCTAACTATGATGCAATGATTCTTTCTTCCTATTCTCCTTGCCGCTGGGATTGCAGGAGCTCTGGTGAGTGTGGCATTCCTTTCGCATGTTGAGTTGCATTCTGAACACCAAGACAGGGCCCACTCCAGCTTACCAACCTTTTTCTTTACGGGGTTTCTTAAGCACAGAAACATTAAGGCCTATCCCTCAGTGGCAGGGCAGGTGCTCAACATGTACAAGGTCCGAGGTGCAGTCTTAAGACCTCTCCAGTTAAAGGGAGCAATAGGGAAGGGCCTTAGTGCATTGGTAGAGCATCAGCTTTGCATGCAGAAGGCCCCAAATTCCATCCTTGGCATCTCCACATAGGGCTGCAAGCAACCCACATGCTCAGCTGCTGTGTCACTGAGCAATAATAAAGGTGTATGTGTGGATCAGCCCTGGGTAGACCTTAGCAGCGACCTGGTTTGGTGACCAGTTGTCTGCATCTTCCACCAGAACAGACAGCTAACAACTTTTGTAAAAAAACCACCCCAAAACCCAGAAGCTTTTCTTTTGGGAATTATAGGGACAGAACTATCTAAATTGTATAGAAATTTATGTATGCTGCTATAGCAGCAAGAATGGTACTTGCCCCAAAGTGGAAAGAACCAGGTGTCTCAGTAAAGGAAGAATGGATACAAAAACTTATGGAATATGTAGAAATGGCGAAACTTACCGGAAGAACTAAGAAATCAAGATAACAAACTTTTAATATAAAAGAATGGAAATGGTTTATTGAAAATTTACAGATAAATTGCAAACAGATAAAAACATTAGCAGGATTATTGTAATAACCTGCAGTTTCATAAGAGTATATATTTAAAGTAGATGATTAAATGAATCCAAATTAAATGAATTTGGATATGCAGAAGATATTTTTAAAAAATAAATTTAAGGAACCGCAGAAAGAGGGAGAAGGAAGTCGAACTTTGAAATCCTAAATTGACTGTAAACCTAATGAAATGTATAAACTTGAAAAGTATAAATAAAAACTTTTAAAGAAAAGAAAAGACCGCTAAGGGTGCTTGTCTTTTCTCCTGTTGCAGGACTTTGTTATCACAGTAGTCGTCTCTTTCCTGTGGTTGGTGAGCACATCAGCCTGGGCTAAGGCCCTCACAGACATCAAAACATCCACCGGACACAGCATAACTGAACTTCAACCTTGCGTGAGCCAAACCAATCGATGTCAGTTCAATGACATCAGAAGCTTGGGTTCCTTGAATGTCTCTGTGGTATGTATGCATTACTAGATGCTGGGGCTACAAGCAACCAGAAATAGCCACCATCCTCATGTTTTCTTTCTTTGAGAGTTGTCCCAGGAGACACAATACCGGTCTAGTTTGGGGATAGCTAACATGGCGGCCTCCTGATGTTACTGGGCTATGGCTTCCATCACCCTTGACTGTTGGCCATGCTGGCTGGGACCACTGAACGTTGTGGTCCCACGAGCATCTTTAGGGCACCACATAAGCTGTCCCTGGTCTTGAGGAACCAGCAAGGCAATTGTGCTTCACATAATTTATTCAGAGCATGTAGAAGGACCATAGCTCAGTGGTAGAGCATCTGCTTTAGGTGCAGAAGGTCGCAGGTTCAATCCTTGGCATCTCAACCTTTTGGCTAAGACAGGAGTGTAGGCTGGCTATTCTCCGAATTCAACATTCACTAACTGGGTTTTGACCTTGACCTACCACTCGTCCATCCTGGAAGGATTTGCATGACTTATTATATTCTTCTTCCTGTTGCCCCTGCTGAAAACACTTCTGTGCACACCCAAATCCCTCAGGGGTGATATATATTGATTTGGAATCAAACATCCCCTAATAAAAAAATATTAATCCCAGTGCATCAGTTTGGATTCATACACAGCTCTTCAGAGCAAGATGCATTGGGACCGGTCAATTTTCATATTCTGAACTTCTGTGACTCTGTTTTTTTAGGGTTTTGAGGTCTTGGTGACAATAGCTTTGAAGTTGGAGGAGGTTCTTGTTTAATACGATACAGTAAAATGCTTTTCCTGGACACTCTGGCTCAAATGGCATAGTCTGCTCAGTCACAGAAATATTTTCCCCTGAAGGTAAAAAAAAAAAAGAAAAGAGCTGCAGGAAGCTGCAGTTTCAATCGGAAGTATCTGGGTAGATTAGGTGCTCCCCCCTTGTTTCTGTGAATCGTACAGTTTTTCTTATCAAGAGTACCTTTACCTCTTCCGCTGCAGGACAAAAAGCTCAAGGGAGACTTAATTTTTTAAAATAAGAAAACTGACCCAAAAGGAAAGAGATAATTGCGTCCTGCCCTGAGGCAAACACCCAGTCCAGATAGCAACTTCCTGCAGCTCTTTGGGGTTAAAACAACATTCCTTGGGGGAAATGTTTTCTTCTGACCTTGAGTGGTTAACAGCTAAAACAGGGACAGCTAATATGGAGCCCTCCATAGGTTGTTGGACTACAGCTCCCATGATCCCCAGCTAGTTGTAGTCCTCATGGGAGTGATGGGGAGGAAGGGACTGGAGCAGGTCCGTTCCATGATTGTTCTGGGAGTCTAACACTGCATTATTTTCTCCCTGGAATTCATGTCGGAAATGCAAATTGTGGGATGCAGCTGGTAGGATCAGGCAGGTGCACTAGTTGCCTGAAAGTTCCTTCTTAGGCCAAAACCTCCATCTTCTCCTTTTCTTGCTCCTAGGTCATTGGTTTCCTCAACCTGATCCTCTGGGCAGGGAACGCTTGGTTTGTCTACAAGGAAACCAACTTGCATAACCCTCCGGCTGCCGCTCCTCCGACCCCTGGCAACCCCCCACCTCATTCGGGGATGTAAGGAGCATGGAGAGCCATCCGCTATGGGGCGCAACCTCTTGCTGGCAGGATGGTCGTGGCAGCAGGTTGTTGTTGTTTTGTAAACGCCCCCCTCCTGATAATGCAATTGATGTGTGAAAAATGGATGGGTTTCTTTTGTTGTTGTTGTTCTAAAATTTCTGTCTAAGAGGAAAGAATGGAGATCTCTGCTCAGCCCCGTGTGCATCCAAACAGATCATGCTACTGTACTGAAGCTTATTCTGTGCATTGAAAATAAGGACACAAGTTTCTTGATTTAAAGCCTAGGAGAGTTTAGCTGTACAGCTTTCCAAGGGCTGCACAGGTCAACACACGCTATGTGCACTGAGTTGTGCTGCTCACTGTAAGCTGCAGCCTGATCCTGTCTATGTTTACTCAGAAGGCAGTTCTGTTGAGATCAGTGGGGCTTACTTCTAGGCAAGTATGCTTAGGATTGCAGCCTTGGCCTCACCCAAGCACACACACACACACATATATATATATGCTTGGGTGAGACCAAGGCTCACATATATATATGTATATATGCCTTTGGCTGCCTTGCAGATAGGAATTGTACATAACACTCAAGAGATGTACATTGTTCTTAGGTTACACTGCTGTCCTTCTGTAGCAGGAAGAGTCTAGGTGACTGCCTGGGACAGTGTCTGTATGTGAAACTCCTGTCACCAAACTTTAGATCTGTAACTCTAGGAATGGAAGAAAGCAGGGCTGGGGAACCTGTGGACCTTGATCTATTGCTTGATCACAACCCCCTTTCAACCTTAACCATTGACCATGCTGGCTGGGACTGCTGGAAGTTGGTGTTCAACAGAATCTGGAAAGCCACAGGTTTCCCAAATGTGTAGAGAGACAAAAAGCATTTCTCTGCACATAGTCTATATAGACCAGAATATGCAAGAGTTGTTGATAGGAGCTCTGCACAAAATAATGGCATCTGAAGTAGGCTCCAGAAACTTGAACGGAACCCTAACCTTCAAATCAATGTTGAATTTCTAGCCCTTGCAGGTAGCAAGAAAATGTGAGGCTTCATTTAAGATAACAATCAGCCTCTCTCCCTGACTCCACACCTCTTTTGCCTTAATCCAGGCTTCATCTAGTGCTTCGCAAACCAACTGAACTCGGAATTTCGAATTTCTTTTAAAAACAACCAAAGAAACCATGCTTGCTGCAAATTATTACACAGTGGCATGTAAAATCATAACAACTGCTAGTAGTGATTGCAAATTTTCATTATCTGGTTAATTCCCCTACGCCCTCAATTTAGGTTTTGTGATTACAGAGCTCAGAAGCTATCATGCGTTTAGCGTAGCATTCTGGAACTCCTGGCCAAACTCAGCTAAAAAGCTGCAAGTAGTTTGTCTTTCTGTGCCTGTAGAATTTTGCACAGTTTGGATTCCTAGGGATCTTAGTTTTTATTACTTCAAATTACTTTAAAAATGCAAGGTTCTAGCTGTCATGGTTACAGATGCCAAAAATGAGGCTGCAGAGCTTGGAGAATGGATGGATGTATTTCATGATTTCTGATAAACCTCCCCATTGCCAAATGTTCCTCCACTGCCCGCTTCATAGACGATCTCCCATTTCTAAGCTGCTAGTTTGCCACAACATTCTGGAAAAGTTGCAGAATTTAACAGGAATGCAGAAGGAAGCATGCATATGGAGCACATTTATGGAAAATAGCTGCATATATTTTAATGGTGCTCAGAATTCACCGTCGTAATTAATGTAATTACTTTGGGAGATTTCTGCTATGATCTCTATTCATGGCATATGATTTCCCCCCCTGTTCTGATGGATGTATTTACAAAAGCTTTGCATGAACTCCCAGCAGTGTTTCCCCCCCCATCACATTGTTGATTCAGTAGGATTTTCATCGTAAGATGTCTTGGGAGTAGGGATGGGGAAACTGGGACCCCCAGAAATTGTTAGATTAGATTACAGCTCCCAGGATTTTTGATCAGTGATCATAGTGGCTGCTGGAGCTGGTAGGAGACTTGAGTCCCAGCAAGATGCTAAGAGTAAGGATGGGGAAATCTGACAGTTCTGGTTCCTCTCACTTTTTTCCAGTCTTAGGTTCAGTTTTCCACATTTCCACTTCAGTGTGTGATTTTTTCTTTTTTAATCATCAGCATTTTAGTGTGAATTTCTCTTAATATGCATAAAATTGCATGCAATTTCCCCTAAAACACACAGTTTTGCAGAGCAATTTCCCCTAATATAGTGCATAATAACATACACTTTACCCCAGAATATATATATATATATTTGTACACATTGCTTGGCTGGAGAACTGCGTTATGAAATTCGGAGAGTTTTTTCATGTTCACTTTTCACTGAGTGACAAGCACCCAAAAACAACAACAAAAACAACAACAAAAAAACCCCAAAAACAACCCTGGCTTCTTCCAGACGGCTGTTTGAAAACCAGTGATTTGAAACAATGAAAAAGTGTTAGCAGATTGTGGTTTTTTGATATGACAGGCAGGCTGTGCAAAGAACAACTGTCTCATTTTGCTAACAGAAAATGTGTTTCCCAAAGCAGCGTGATCTGCTTTTATGTTTTTTGGGAAACTACAGCAGTCCTGAATAGATAACTGAAAATTAAAATGAAATAGCTAGTAACTTGCTTTATTTGCTCCCAACCATTCTATATGCATTTCTTTTTTTGATGAATTGCACTGGTGATTGCTTCTCCCTTTTTTGTCAGTGAAATCATTATCCAAACTGATGACACAAAATAAAACTGCTTATGGGTGCCTCTGGCTATAGAATTTTTATATCCTAACTTGTGGGGAGAAATCTGGAGAAGTGGCCATGGCACATGAGTCTGGATTGCTTCCCCTCTCACTTAAATGCTCAGCATGCCAACAGGCGTGACTTGCAGCCTTCCAAGTGTTATCATCACACCCATAAGGGCTAGAAACTTGTGAACATGGTTTAAAACTGAAAAGCTGAGATTCCCAGGAATCTGGATTTGTGCGCATTGTTACATCAGATGCTCCCATAAAACTGCGAGTTAGATTCACAGCCCTGCTTGGCAGATCTTGAAATGAACTGACCATCCTGAGAACAAGCTAACGCAAATTATTTATTATGGGTTGTATCTGTCTGACTCTCACAGCAGATTTCCATTTGTGAAGCAGAACTCCTCTCTCCTGCAGACCTTACCCTCAAAATCTGCTTCAGAGGGTCAGGTGACCCTCTTCCTGAGGGTAGAGGAAGAAGCAATTGCATTGCGCGAGTGGAATGCTTCTCACATAGCAATGGATACATGTTTCACATGGCTAAAACAAGCCGATCTAACCAAGACCCAGTAACACCTAGCTTCTTATGCAGCAATGCTCTTCATCACGTGAAGCAATAATGTTCTTCATCACGTACATATGCTGAAGCCTTAATCTGCACTCAGGGTGTTTGGAAATCTGCACAGTGCTCAGTGCTGAAGAGGGGAGAATTGTCACTTCGAAGGCAGAATCCTAAGTTTCAGTGCCTATATATATCTATATATTTTTCTACGTCTCTTTGTTTATGCTGCTTCTCCCTCCCTAACAATTATTTCCTGCTTGCTCCAGGCGTGTGAGCAAAATGCATGAAGAAATAAAATGCCTTGCCAAGTTATCACAGGGAGACGCCTCATACGTTTATGAAGCTGCTGTGTGTATATTCTGCTGCTTGTTTTGAATGGTGGTTCTCTGCACTTCTCAGGGCTGAAGTCGTGTCCCTTTGGGGGCCTTTATTATTATGATTATTACTCATTATGGCCCTCTCCCTCTGCCGTTGCTTGGCATGAATGTGCAGGTATCAGACCTTATTTTCTGCTAGATCGGGAGCAGGGGCTTAGGGACGGGCCATAGCTCAGTGACTGAGCTATGCAAGCAGGTTGGTCCCAGGTTCAATCCCCTGGGTAGGGCTGGGAAAAGACTCCCGGAGAGATGCTGCCGGTCAGTGTAGACAGTAGACAGTGTAGACAGTATAGAGATAGATGAACCAAAGGGTTTTCCCAAAGCAACTGAAGATTCCTCCCACCCCCAAGCTCAGACAAGCAGATAACCCTGACCTGCAAACTTTGATAGGAATTGGGCCTCATCACATGACCTGTTTGTGGCCTATCACCTTGCTGTTTCTTTCTTTGGAATGGTTCTGGGTTCAGGGCCTGCCATGTGGGGCAATACTGTTGGTTGAAACTGACCCCAGCCGCACAAATCGCTCGCCTCCAACCAGCCGGGTGGATTTTCCCATCAAACACCTGGCCTAAGAACCATTCAGGTGTATCAATGGAAGCCTTTTCTAGGTTGGCCTACAAGATCTCAAAAGAGAACTTTGGGCTTGAATTGGGAGCAGGAGGTTGAGGGCACGACAATAGAGGGTGCACAAAACCGCATTCCCTTTCATGGGGAGGAACAAACTGGGAAGCCCTTTATACAAAAGTCACCGGTGCTTCTCTGGCTCCTGTGCTGTGGGATGCCAACATGAGCTCCCTGCCCCCCCCCCAATGGCATTGCGCTGACATGGCATCTTTCAGGGCCATTGTGGGAAATTCAAAATGGCAGCCGGCAGCACAGGAAGCAGAAGGAGCGCCAGTGAGTTGGGCACCCCTTGAACCTTTCCCAATAACCAAAACGCACACACCCCACACACTTCTGCTACCTTCAAATAGGGTGATGAAAACGGTGGGGTTGGTACAGTAAAATTATTCCTCTAATCAGTTTGCCGCTAGTCTACTCAACCTGTGGTGGCACCCCACAACAGCTGTATGAAGGGAGAGAAATTCATAAAGTGATTGTGTTAGATAGCCCCTCACACTGTCTCGAATGCTTATAAAACTGTTAAAACACTGGATGTACTTCGCTATGCAAATGTATGCAAATAATGCTTGCTGCTTTCTAGTAATGCTGTAAACAAGCACATTTGGGGAGGGAAGAATGCTGGAATTAAATATAGCTAACAACACCCCCCCACACACACTTTAACTTGGGGACACGTTAGATAGCATAACACCCCACAATTTTTTACCCCTTGATACTAGATCTTTCCTAAATCACCCCAGATGTAGATAGCACAAATAAATTCACATTATTTTATCTTGTAAAGAAATCTGGCTGTGCCTTTTAAAAAAAATCCACTAGCAGTGAGCTGTGTGTGTTTGTTACATGACTATGGAAGTGCAGTGTGACTATTCCTGATCAATTGAGCTCATGTGGAATTGCAGTTGATTCCATCATTTGCTTTTTATATGCATGTTTTCCCCCCCTGCGATGGCAGAATATGGAGGCTAAATGCATTTATTATTTAAACACACACCTTTTTACTTTATATAGATTTTTTTTGCCTGTCTCTCACAAGAATTGTTTTGAGATCCCTGTATGTGTTCTGCACACACAACAAATGTAATAAAACAAATTGCTCAGTGACTGTATTAAAGTTGCAAATGCTCTCTTTCTTCCAGAGTGTGTCAAGTGTCCGGCTGGGCTTGAGTTTGTGTATTGTTCTGAGCTTTTGTGATGTCCTTATAAATCTCAGGTTTTATTTGAAAGGGGGGGGGCGGGAAGCATGTTTCTAGCTCTCATTCTGGTAAACACAATCTTAGAAATCAGGGCAGTAGTTAGCTGAAGGTGGAAAGGAGGCAGCTGTCATAATCTTTAGGAGTATAGAGCAGCTTCAACTTGAAAGCAGATTGCTCTGCTGATTGCCAGTAAACTGGCACTATCATAAGTCAGTCAAATGAATTTACACTGATTAAAAAGAAGTAAATTTCACTGACTGGCTGCAGCAGTGCATCTTCTGTGTTGGGGGGGAGGTAATGGGGAATTGGCCTGGGTCTAGTTTGTGATGTTTTTGGTGCTTAATAAGGGTTTTGCCCTAATGGATTTAGGAATGTTTCTTGTGGGCCAACACAACATCCTTTACATTTGAGGTGACTTTGGGTGTGTGTGACTTTTTGTCTGACTTTTTTGGGGGTGATCTAAAGACTTAACAGATTTATTAAGCTTTATAAACTAGAATGCACATTGTTAGATGCATCTGACAAAGTAGGCTGTACTTGGCACACACAAACTTACATATTATACACACTTCTTAGCCGTGCGGGCACTCTTTTCCCACCTACCCACCCACCGCAACAAAACTAATCACAGTTGCCACCCCTCAGGAGTGTGCAATTTGTTTGCATCAGCTTTCTCTGTTCAAGGACAGTCGTGGAGAAAGGGAGAACACCAGTTGGCTGACTGGTCTTCCCAGTTGCAAAGTGGGCCCCAAGCCTTGTCATCATATGGGGCTAGCAGTGTGTGTTTTGTGTGGTAAGTCTAAAAGGTAAAGGTAAAAGGACCCCTCACCGTTAGGTCCAGTCGCGAACGACTCTGGGGTTGCAGCGCTCATCTCGCTTTACTGGCCAAGGGAGCCGGCGTTCAGCTTCCGGGTCATGTGGCCAGCATGACTAAGCCGCTTCTGGCGAACCAGAGCAGCGCACGGAAATGCCGTTTATCTTCCCACCGGAGCGGTACCTATTTATCTACTTGCACTTTGACATGCTTTCGAACTGCTAGGTTGGCAGGAGCAGGGACCGAGCAGCAGGAGCTCACCCCGTCGCGGGGATTAGAACTGCCGACCTGATCGGCAAGCCCTAGGCTCTGTGGTTTAGACCACAGCGCCACCCGCGTAAGTCTGGAACCCAGCAAATGGAGTAGCACACTGGGAGGAATTCTGAGGTTGAACAAGCTTCTTTGTGCACCACAATCTGCCTACTACTGGTGACAATTGATAGAAAGCCAAGAAAAAAACGACCCCTTGGGAGTTTGAATTAAATAATGGTTGCTTTTTCTTCCTAGTGGCAGCCACCCAAGGCAACCACACGATATTTCTGGTACGAGATATTTCTGGGAGACAACTGTCTAAAAGAGGAGTTGTCTAATATTCCAAAAATATTCTGAAATGTGTTCTAAGCCAGGGTCGTCAATGGTGCCCTTGAGGTCTTCTGGCACCTCTGAGAAGCCTCTTGAGTTACCACCTCTCACTGCCTCCTTGTCCATGAGATGGTGCCGACCTTTTCCTCCCTTGAAAAGTACATAGAGCTGAAAGCAGGAAGTTGGAAGAGTGGTACTCTTTCTCATACCCATGAAGTTGGTGCACCTTTTTTTTTTTTTTGTCCCTGTCGGGAAGGTGGTACCCACAACACTTGCACAAAAATACAAATATGCCCACAGGCCTAAAAAACAAAACAAAAATTAAAATCTTGGTGAACCTAAGCCCTAGTGTAGGAAGGGCTATTAATTGAGATTTTAAAAGGAAATGAACTGCTGGTATTTTATGAAGTGAGGGTTTAAACACAAGAGTGTGTTTAGGCAAATATACAGGACCAACATGTCTACGTCACCCTCATAAGCTGAGGGATGAATGATTCCTCCTTGTCCTGGAAATGCAGGTGGACTTACGACTTGTCCTATATCTGTGGATTTATAAAAGAGAATTCCAGGGAAATCCTTTTTTAAAAATTCACACGTCTAAACAGTCATAAACACACACATGCAAATAAGGAGTATTAAGAAAGTGAACCAAGGCTACTGTTCTAACGAGGGCAGCCATTTTGTTGTATGTACAATAGACCTTTGTGTATAGAATTACACAGGAAGTGCAGTTTCTTCCCACAACATCTTAAAAAGTATTTTTACCCTGCACTGCAGAGGTACCGCACTTTGAAGCTGCTCCAAGCAGCTTTGCACTGTTTAAAACACCGGGGGTGGGGTGGGGTGACAATTAACCTTGTTAAGTTCAATGGACTAGATGGCAGATTTTTGGTTCATTCTGAGGACGGCAGTTGGGAGTGGCATTGTTTTGTTTTGGTTTTGTTCTTATTATGTATTTTGTGCTTTTGTTTGTATTTTTATGCTGTGAACCACCCGGAGCTGTTTGGATGAATCACGGAATACAAATTTAATATTTTTTTAATATATGAATGGTGAGTTGGGGGAGTCACAGCAAATCTAGCCTGGGTCAAAATCCTCTGACACCCGTACGTAAGAGTCACCTTTTCTCTGTTGGTCCCTTAACCCACTGGTTCAGCTGATGGGTGGGAGCCACTTGTGCAGAGCTTTCCAAACTTTGTGTTGTGACACAATAGTGTGTCGGATGCAGTGTGTAGATGTAGAGCACAAACGCTCCCTGCGCTCCTCCCGTGGTTTGGAAAAAAAGTTAAGTTTCACCTTCGGTTTGCTAGTGCATTACTGTGTCGTGGAATGATTCCTGTCTAAAAAGGTGCATCACCAACATGCAAAGTTTGGAAAGCTCTGCACTTGTGGGTCACAGCCTGATCCGAGGTGGGTCCCCACAGGAGCCCTACCACCATGCAAATGTATCGGGAAAGGTTGGGAAATGGGTTCCCTAATGCATCCTTGGACTAAAAGTGGGTCCTGGGTTTGGAAACGTTGGAGACACTTGCTTTAACCAGTATGTTCTTCGCAGCACAGTAAAATGATACCTCCCACTGGTGATAGCTTCTGAAAGAGCACCCTACATTCTCATGCACTTGTAACGCACTTCCAACCAGCCATGGAGGTCTCTTGAGTATTCTGCAATTAGTTCCAGAAGTTGCTGGTGGGGGGCTTTAAAAGCATTGCACTGGAGAGGAGAGCAGAGCCAATATATACATTTATTTCAAAGAGGGGAAGCTATCCTGTTCTACCCACCACTGGCTGTAATACTTGCAGAATATATATATATATTTGCAGAATTCATGGAAAGAGAGACTTTAAACCCCCGCACCAAAAAAGGTAATTGTTTATTATTGCCGGAACACCAATGTGGATAAGACGAGCTCTTTCCTCGGGATCAGTTGTTCCACATGATTTGTTGGATCCAGTTGACATACTTGCATACTCTGCTGTAAACCCCTGGCCGGTTGGGCTGGGCACATTTCTCCAAGCCCCAGGAGACGATCCCCTCCAGCTGCTGATTGCAGACGAGAGGCCCTCCAGAGTCGCCCTGTGAAAGGCAGCACAGTTCCTGACATTGCATTGCGGCCATCCGGCCTACAGGGGGCAGCATTGCAGCAGAGCAGGGCACTTGGTTACAACAGTGGTATTGCTATGGCAGGCTGGCAAATGAAGCATCACCCACCAACACCAGGGTACCCTTACTTTGCAGCCAGTTGGGGTATGTGTGTGTGGTGGTCCTGCCAGTTATTGACTCTGGCTCCACCTACTGCTGGTCTGCCCCACAAGTCCCACTGGGCGCCAGCAAACTACTGGTACTAAATATAAGCATAGTCTATGAGTGGCCAGCATGCTGCCCTTCAGATGTGAGCCCAGGTGTTTGCCCCAAAGTCCTGCCCTGGTTGGCATCATTGACAAGACATGAAAGCATGCACAGTGAATAAAATGCAGGGGAAAGCAAGCCGGATAGATAATTGCACAACAATGGATGGGAGAGAGAGAGAGAGAGAGAGAGAGAGAGAGAGAGAGAGAGAAGGATGGCGTCAGCAGGAGGGCCAGGGTGGGGGGACAATGTAAAAAGGTAAAAGGTAAAGGACCCCTGGATGGTTAAGTCCAGTCATAGGCGACTATAGGGTTGCGGCGCTCATCTTGCTTTCAGACCGAGGGAGCCAGTGTTCGTCCACAGACAGCTTTCTGGGTCATGTGGCCAGCATGACTAAACCACTTCTGGTGCAACGGAACATCGTGACGGAAACCAGAGTGCACGGAAATGCTGTTTACCTTCCCGCCGGAGCGGTACCTATTTATCAACTTGCACTGTTGTGCTTTCGAACTGCTAGGTTGGCAGGAGCTAGGACAGAGCAACGGGAGCTCACCCTGTTGTGGGGATTCGAACTGCCAACCTTCCGATCAGCAAGCCCAATCGGCAAGGACAAGGCATGACACAGAGGAATGGGCACTGAGGATAAGAACATGCAAGAATGGAAGGTGGGAGAAAATTCTCTTTAGACAGCCTTTGGTAGCAAAGCCACGTCTCCATCCTACCTGACAGGAGTCCACTCCACCTTCTGGTACACCAGCACAAACCATCCCATTCGTGATGCTGTTAGGATAAGAAGCTGAACATGTCTCTGAGCTGATAATCCTGACGTTTCCACATTGCAGGATGTTTGGGAAAGTGGCTGTAGAAAAGACAACACCACCCCCTCCCCATTTAATAGCTGCTCAATTTCCAAATTATCTGCAACGCTTAATGACGGAGTGATTTTCTGATTGTGCACAAAGGGTGCCTGTGGACTGTCACTATTTTGCAGTACTAGTTCAAGCGCATGCCCAAAATTTAGGTCTGCGCGGTGAAAGTGGATCAAAGCTTTCTGTCACTTTAGCACACACAAATACGCTTATCTTTAAAAAGCCATGCTTTTCGCATTTAGGAAAGTGGCAGGCAATGTACTGAAAAGTGCAGGGTGGACAAATGGTTAATGGGAAGACGTGTAAACACCTGGCCAGCAAATTGGGCTGAATGCTTGTTGACACATAACCCGCCCTGTAAACAAACCAGAATGAATTCTCAAGAATGAGGAGATCTTACCAATCGGGAAACACTATGCAAGAAAATTGGGATGTATAAGCAGATGGTCTGGAGGAGCTCTAAGGGGTCTCCAACCTTTACAGGCCCATGGAAACTTTTGCAAATGGGAGAATCTGCCATGGGGCACCCCATATACTACATGCATGCACATTACACCCCTTCTCTTCGTCCTGCCAATAATTAGGCTGGAGAAAAGTGTGTGTGGTTTTTTGTGGTTTTGTGTGGTTAATGAAGGGCCATCTTCCTGCAAAATGAATCTTCTCTCCCCAGCTGCATTTTCCAGGACCTCCAACACAGAGACACAACAATTAGGCTTGGGGCCTCTTTCAAAATTAATTTCAGTAGGGAGTTGGGACCCTGGGCAAGTTTCAGCTAATGAATCTCACCAGTCGAAGCCCACACAAGGAAGACCACTTGCTCAATGGGTCCCCCCCACCCCACTCCTATGTGCCCGTGGGAATTGGCTCTAGGTTTTTTGGGGGGTGGGGGGAGAACCCACAGAACAGGATGTAGAGGGAGTGGAGATTTTTCCATGAGATGCTTGCAATGATTGAATGATCAGCATAGTGCAACATTTAATCCCCCCCCCACTTTGTGCACCAGGGAAGGCCTCTGCAGTTGCAGATGTGCCTGTGAGCAGCGCATTGGCAACCTGCGCATTAAGGCAGGGCTGAGGAACCTTTGTCCCTCCAGATGTTGCTGGATCCCAGTTCCCATCAGCTAGGGTTGCCATATTTTGAAGAGCAAAAAAGAGGACGACTATGATGACTCATTTTAAATACCCCTACTATATGTAGGCTATAGAAGCTGTGATATATTGCCGAGCGGAGCAGGAGAAGAGAAGAGGAAAGCACCAGTTATGTGTCTTATGTCTCATCCAGAAAGTATAGCCAGACGTATTTTGGAAAATTTAAAGAATCCACCCGGACAGAAATTTTACCCCTGAAAAAGAGGACATGTCCTAGAAAAAGAGGACACATGGCAACCTTACATTAGCCCAGAATAGCCAATGGTTAGGGATGATGGGGAGCTGTACTCCAGGTACATCTGGTGGCCCAGCGGTTCCCCAGCTGTGCAATAAAGGTGAGCAAAAAGAGTTGGTTCTTTTGCGCCCGTGCGTGTACCTTGTGGCGTAGTGAGGGTGCCCCAGCCAGAAACAAGGCACTCCGTCCCAGGGGCAGAGCAGCCTCTGGGTAACTCCAGAGGATGTAGATTCTGTGTAAAGGGGACTGGCCTCTCCAGCTTCAGCATCATGACGTCATTGTTGAGGGTACGGGGGTCAAAACGCGGGTGGCGGAAGTACCTGACCACCCTCCGGGTCTGCTCCCCTTCTTCCCGGACCGCCAGGTTGTGTTTCCCCAGCCGCACGATTATGTTGCTAGGTAACAAGGAGAGAAGAGAAGCTGGTTTGTACAGAGAGCACCACTGCACATGCTGTCCCTGGCTCAAAACCAGAGTATGCCATCAGTAAATCATTCAATGCATTGCTCTCCCTGCTTTTCTGCTCACAGCATAAAGCTCCCAGAGTAGCTTCACAATATGATCAATATGTTTTAAAGTGCGTTGTGGGGGGTGGGGTGGGACAGGGTGTAGTCTGCGCATTGTCTGAGGCATCCCTTAAAGGTAAAGGGACCCCTGACCATTAGGTCCAGTTGTGACCGACTCTAGGGTTGCGGCGCTCATCTCGCTTTATTGGCTGAGGGAGCCGACGTACAGCTTCCTGGTCATGTGGCCAGCATGACTAAGCTGCTTCTGGCGAACCAGAGCAGTGCACAGAAACACCGTTTACCTTCCTGCCGGAGCGGTACCTATTTATCTACTTGCACTTTGATGTGCTTTCGAACTGCTAGGTTGGCAGGAGCAGGGACCAAGCAACAGGAGCTCACCCTGTCACAGGGATTTGAACCGCCGACCTTCTGATCGGCAAGTCCTAGGGTCTGTTGTTTAACCCACAGCGCCACCTGCGTCCCTTGTTAAAGCACATTAATTCCCCCCAAAGAATTCTGGGAACTGTAGTTTACCCCTTGCAGAGCTACAGCTGCCAGCACCCTTAACAAACTGCAGTTCCCAGGATTTGTGGGAAGGGGGAGTTCTTTAAATGTGCTTTAAATATATGGCATGTGTACCTTAATGGCTGTAGCAAAGTGGCCTGCTGAGGATATGAATGGGCTCTTCTGGAAGAAGAAAGCCGTTTCCACATATGGATTTTGTTTCTACGTATGGTCACCAAGGTGTGTGGATGTGAAGCAACCTGGCAGTCTTGTCCTGGAACTGGGCTAGAAGGAGACTAAGAAGCCAGATTTGCTTTCTGCGAGAATCCAGTGCACTCCCCCAATACCTAAAATGGGAGCAGGATCTGATGGAGTGCTAATGCTGGGAACCTTCCATCTTGCACCCATCCTTCATATATGTGTAAATAACCCTTATTAATGCCACCCACCTCCAGTGACCTTCCTTCCAAGGAAACCAAACCCAGAGATTTATTACTGTTCAGAGACGGAGGTTGCATGTAACAATTAAAAATAAAATAAAATTGCAAAGTTTAAATGAAAAGCAGAAGTCTGAAACACTGCAAGCCAGATTGCACTACAATTGAGCATGAAAAGCCTGTTGGTAAGAAGATTTTAAATGATGGCAAGAATTCTGTTGGCAGGTTATTCCAGAATTATGGTGCCACCACTGAAGAGGCCCCGTGTTTCATGCTCACTCTCCATGTGGCTCAGGATGATGCCAGGGCCCAAGACTCTTTGCTGCCTGACACAAAGGACAAAGGAGCACCCACACACTCCAGTCCACCTACAGAAGTGGAAGGACTGCCATTCAAATCTAGTGCCAGGACAGTGTCTTCCATTGCACCTAGTTGCAGTATTTAAGACGGGGAGCTGCTACTGCATAACGGCGCAACTGAGTGCACCTGAGGGCAGCATGCTTGTTTAGGAAATGCAGCCTTTCCCACATCTCACAACTGCTCAGTGCTCCAAGCATCTGCTGTCTAAGGCAGCCGTCTCGCTCTGCCTAACAGTAGGGCTGGTCCTAACCTCTGAGGCTGTTCGTAAAGCCAAGGCAGACTGATACAGGAGATAGTTCGCTACAGTATAAGAATGCAGGTGGAATTTCAAATGTGCATTGCAGCCAATGCAAATTCGACAGCTTCACCCACAAAAATTAGATCTGCGCCTGCAAAGCAACTGTGGCTTTATTTCCTGTTCAAAACTGGCTTTGAGAGACTTCTTTTCCACCATCAACTGCTTCCTGTCCCAGTGAAAATTGCAGAAAGAGGGAAGGAAAAGTCACCACCCTAAAACCTGAAGCCAAATCATAAAGTATAGGAACTTTTAAAAATTGCTGCTTTTGAACATCTCTGTGGGGAAATGGTTTCTTTCTGAAAATCACTCAAATACGTAGCAAACTGCAGTACAGAATGTTTCTATGAAATATTCCAAACCCAGCGGATTGCAAGCCTTCTGATAATAATGTAACGATTTGCAATGTAAAAATTACTCCACCAGATGGCACTGCTCGTCTGTGTATAATACAACCCTCTGCCTGACCTATTTGCAAAAGCTTTGCATTTGCTCTGAGCAATGTCTTTTTCATCACATGGTTGATTCAGCAGGATTTGAATGGTAAGAAGCCTTGCGGCAGGGATGGGGAACCTGTGGCCTTCCAGATGTTGCTGGACCACAACTCCCATCATCCCTGACCACTGACCAGGGCAGCAGCATTATTTCCTTCCTTCCTTCCTTCCTTCCTTCCTTCCTTCCTTCCTTCCTTCCTTCCTTCCTTCTGCAAATTGCTGCATAAAGGTGGAGGACTGAATTTAAGATGGGGGGGGGGAGGAGAGGCACAGAAAGAACTGAAACGGACAGAGCCACCCATCCCTATCTGACAGCCCTTCAAATTGAGGGCTGTCCTCTTATCAAGCTGGGCACATGGCTGTCCTTTCCCCTTCTCACTTTGAGTGGGATTAAAGCTTGGTGACAGAGCACATGCTACTCGTCATATAGGAAATCTAGGTTCAATCCCCCAGCATCTTCCATTAAAGAGATTTCAGGGTTGTGGCAAGGCCGGGTAAGACATCTGCCCTGAGACCCTGGAGATCTGCACCCAGTGGCGTCGCAATGAGGGCGCGGTGGGGGGGGGTGCCCTGGGTGCCATGTCTGGGAGGGTGACAAGAAGGCACCCAGCAGGGGCTCATGGCGGCGCAAGCAGCCATTGTGCCCCAGCAGCTGCATGTGGAGAATCCTCCGTTCGCGGCTGCAGCTGCGAGCAGAGGATCCCGGCGCCGGTGGCAAACCCCTACGTACAGCGTATGCGCACGTATGTGTGTACGGAACAATGACGCACATGCGCTGTACATAGCGGTTTGCTGTCGGCGCCGCTCGAGTGCTGTACAGATGGTGGTGGGATCCCTCTGTTCGCGGCTGTAGCAGCAATGGAGGGATCCCGGCACCGTCCGTACTGTGCTGCAGTACTGCCACTGGCAAACCACCATGTACAGCGCATGTGTGGCATCGCTATGTATGGCGCATGCGTCGTACGTAGCGAGGCTGCACATGGGCCCTATGTAGCGATGCCCCACCCCGGGCGTCACAACGCCTTTGTTCATCCCTGTCTGCACCCAGTCATCTGGGCAGGTCTCGATGGGCCACTTGGACTCAGTAGAAGAGTATTTCCAGTGCATGGTCAGACTCACCCACCATAGCAGTGCGCAGCAGTGACTACCCAGGAGTCAGCGATCAAAGTCCCCCCGCAAGTGTATGTGCCAGTCAGGTACGCTTGCCAGGGCTGAGAATGGGGGAGGCAGGGATAGCCTCCAATGATCCTTCCCTCGTCATCTTGGGTGTACACTGCAAAAACACATCAACATTATTATTGCATTATATCCTACTTTCCCTCCAAGGAGCACACATGGTTCTCTGCATCCCCGTATTCTCTGCACAATAACAACAACAACCCTGCGAGGTAGGTTAGGTTGAGAGTTGACTTGCCCAAGCTCATCTAGTGAGCTTCTGGGCTGAGTGGGGATTTGAAGCCTGATCTCCCATGGCCTAGTCTCAACACCCTAACCACTATGTCATACTGTCCCTCTATTCCAGCCAGTAAATTATTTAAAGTAGGGTTGGAGAATCTGAGGAAGGAGGGAACCAATGAGGCAAGGAAGAAGGGCTACCCCGATGCTATCCATATAATCAGTTATCAGTAACAAATATATTCAATATATATCCAAATATGCTTACACAAATCAAGGATTACAGTACCTTATAATCCATTTTGAATCAAAAGGGAAGCTGTGCTTTAGCTAACTGCAAACTGCTTGAAACAGCAAAGTTAGGAGTTGACCTTTCCCCTAAACATCTGTGCACCCCGGACAAGGGAAAGACATGAATCAGAAATTCTGGTACAAATTCCCCTCAGATACAGGCTAAATTAATCCACAGAACAGGAAGAGCAAAACCACAAAATGTCCAAGCTCCGGTCCTGTCATAACTAGGGGAAAGGTTAGACAGAGCGTCACTGCAAGCATCGGAAAGCAGAACTAGAACCCGGTGCTGACCATCAGGCTTGAGGCCCTTCCTGCTTTTTAGCCATTTTTATGGAATCTTTACTGGATCAGGTGGTTCTAAGATGCTTTTAGCTGTAGGGCAGGCACGTCCAACAAGTAGATAGTGATCTACCAGTAGATCAGTGGACGTTTGTGGTAGATCACTGGCAGATCAGTTGCTCCCCCCAAAGAACCTCAACAACTTTGGCTTCCCTAAAAAAAGCTCAAGATCTTTGACCTGAACCCCACAAAATGGGGTAGATCACTGCCAGTTTTTAACTCTGTGAGTAGATTGCAGTCTCTTGGGAGTTGGCCACCCCTGCTGCAGGGGATCGAGAGAGAAAGAACTGGAGAAAAGATGGGACTCAGATGTACGTTAGTCATAATGTGTTATAACACTTTGACACCAGATGGCGATGCAGAGCTGAAATCGCAACTCAATGATATTTTCAATTGTGAGCTTTACAACTGCTTTTTGCAGAGCATTTTCAGAACTTAGATAGATAGATATCTAGCCAGGGTTTTGCTCCTCAATCCCTACACCTCGCGGAGAGATGGGGGTGGGACTCCTTATCTGCTCCAATCCATCACTTCCTGCTGGAATTTCTTGTCTGGGTATTTTAAAAAGCCAGAAAAGTGAGCAAGGTGCTCCTTTTAAACTGACAAGATTGTCCCCCACCTGCACTATACATTTAAAATAATAATCCTGGGGACTGTAGTTGGTTAACGGTGCTGAGAGTTGCTAGGATGCCCCTACCCCCCTCACAGAGCAATAGTTCTCAGAGTCCCCTGGGAAGAGGGATTGAATGTTAAACCCAGCCAGATGGGTGGGGTACAATTATTATTATTATTATTATTATTATTATTATTATTATTATTATTATTAACCACTCTGGAAATTGTAGCTTCGGGTGGAGAACAGGGTGAGGAACATGTAACCCTCCAGATGTTGCTGGGCCACAATCCTATCCTAGAATCGTAGAGTTGGAAGGGACCCCAAGGGTCATCTAGTCCAACCCCTGAAATGCAGGAATCTCAGCTAAAGCATCCATGACAGGTGGTTGTGCAACCTCTACTTAGAAACCTCCATCATTCCTGATCACTGGCCAGGCTGATGAGAGCTGGAATCCAACACCATCCCGAGGCCACTGGTTCCACCCCACCCCACCCCTTGCCGTGCCTACACTTTGCACTTACCAGCAGAGACAAGGAGCAATGCAACGGCCAGCTGCCTCACGCCTGCCATTGTCGTAAGCAGAGTGGAGAGTGGCTGGAGACCTTTTGAGGATCCGTCCTGCAGAGGGAGGAGAGCCAAACATTTGTTATCCAGAATAATCAGGAGGACTCCCTTGACTTGCATTGGACTGGATAGCTCAGGCGGCTCCAGACATTTTGCCTTCTTGAGCCACATGGTCTAAGGCAGCGGTTCTCAAAGGGTGTGGCAGGGGAGGGCGGCAAGTGTGGCCGGAAGATTCAAGGACAATCAAATAAGCATTTGAACATTTCAGTGTGGCACAGTATCATATCAGAATAATTGTTTCTGGATGCCCTGTGATCATGTTATAAAGTAGTTGTGCTCTGTGTTGTGCCTGACCCCCTCCTTTGGTAATTCTTCACAGAACTCTAGCCCAATGGTTGCCATCAATTTGAGTTGAATTGAATTTATAATGAATTGATTTTAGAATTCTGTATTATTTTACTGTTGTTAGCTGCTCTGAGCCCGGCTTCGGCTGGGGAGGGTGGGATATAAAAAATTATTATTATTATTATTATTACAAATCAAACACTCCTAGGAGTCTTTCTCCCCCCCCCCCAAAAAAAACCACCAATAAAAACTTTGGCATAGATTGGGCACCAAGTCAAGGGAGGACTTTGAAAACTGGCCGTAGAGAGCGCCGTTTGTGGCAGCTTTGTGGGAGTTCCTAAGGTGGCAGTTCCTAAGACCGGGAGGTGCCGTGACTCAGTGGAAAAGCATGCGGGAAGGGCTGAAGCTCAGAGGCAGAGCAAATGTGTTGCCAAATTTGCTCTCCATCCTGCTCCTGCACACCTTGAAACAGCATCCTGATGTGCAGAAGCTGAGCGAGAGAAATTTTTTCCCTGGCACAATGATATGCAGGGGGAAGAGCTGTAGCTCAGTGCTAGAGAACCAACTTTGCGTTCAGAAAGTCCCAGGTTCAGTTCCCAGCATCTCTAGTTAGGGATTCCTTGCCTGAATCCCTGGAGAAAAACTGCCAATCCGTGTCATCTCTCTCTCTCTCTCTCTCTCTCTCTCTCTCTCTCTGACTACTTGTCCTCCTAGCTAGGACTAATGGGAGTTGTAGTCCAACAACTGAAGACCTAAGTTTGGGAAACACTGATCTAAGGTATTCATGTCCATTATTTTTAAGGAAACTACTTTTGAATAGGATTAACATTGGAGATAACCCATTGTTATAAAGACTGACCAGGGGGAGTTGCCTGCCTGCTCAGTCTGTTGCCCAGGTGCTTTTAACTGTTGGTGGCAAGCTTCAAGGTACTTCCTTCTTATCTTTAAACTGGACTTGGACCAAACAGACTTTCAAATCGAGGATTGTCTAAAAATAGGGCACTGCCCCGGTGCTGATGCCATTCATTTAACAAATTAAGGCCTCTGGAACATAAGAGGTGAGTGGATCTGGAAATTTTCATTTCTCTCAATTTCTCATTCTTCAAATCTTAAATTCAGTTTTCTGCATTTCCACAGCAAATTGTTGTTGTTGTTGTTACAGTGGTACCTCGGGTTAAGAACTTAATTCGTTCTGGAGGTCCGTTCTTAACCTGAAACCTGAGGTACCACTTTAGCTAATGGGGCCTCCCGCTGCAGCCGCACAATTTCTCTTCTCATCCTGAAGCAAAGTTCTTAACCCGAGGTACTATTTCTGGGTTAGCGGGGTCTGTAACCCGAGGTACCACTGTATTATTATCCGCCAGGAAAACTGTCAGCATTTTAGTGGGAATTACTCCATATAAAGCACATTTTTGCAAGCATTCCCCCCCCCCCAGTATAATGCATTTTGGTAAGTTATTTTCATTAGCACGTGCAATTGTACACACGTTCTTTGGTTCCAGAGCCATGTCGCAGAATTTGGAGAAGTGCAAATTTCAAAGGTTTTGGTTTGCCTATTGCTTCTGGAAGTTCAAATTAGGTTGCTTCTCACTGAAATGCAAACAAAGCTGAATTTCTCCCCTGTCCCTAGTAACACCTCCCCTTGCGCTTACCAGCGTAAAAGTAGAATCCCCGGGATGCAACCCTCTGTTGGCAGGACCTCCCAGCAGCTTGTCTCCTTGCCGATGGCCAGGCTCCTATAGCCTCTGACTCACGACTGGCCTTTCCCTATGCCACATGCTTTTAACCTGCCCTGGGCCCTGCAGCAGGTGCCCTCAGGTGGCAGGTGGCATTTACTGGCTGGGGGGACGCCTCCTGATCTGTCATTATCATTTGTGCCATCTCTCAGGCTGGCACCTTCCCATCCCAGTTGGAAATGAAATAGCCTCATGGGCAGATGCACCCAATAGCAGAGGAATGGGCCGGTGTGCAGGATTCTTGGCACACCGCAGCCCTCTAGCATCACTAAGCACACTACTGTATAATTGACACTTATTTTCCTGTGCATCATCGCTGTGCGGAATTGCCTCTGCGTGCTCTAATTTAAGATTGAAATGGTCCAGCCATTAAGCCTACAGGGAACCTATGGAACAGCAGCATTCTCGAGACATCAGTCGACTCATCGTGACTCAGCAGACGCCACGTTAAATGTGCGATTTGGCTCTTTAATAAGGATGCAAGCAATTGGAGCAGTCTATAAATAATTTTAAAGTCGTTAAATAATTTTAAAGTCAGCAGAAGCAATGGGTCAAAATCAGAGGTAATAAAGCTGCAATCCTGCATGTTTACCTGGGACAAAATCCCACTGAACTCAGGAGGACTTACTTCTGAGCAGGAGAACACCCAAAATATAAGGGCATCCCATTTGCAGCACTTGAGAGCTTTTAATTTAGGGGAAAGGTGCATCAGTGGGGACACGATAAATTTTATAAAATAGAGAAAGTCGATAGATGAAGCTTTTCTCCCTCTCTCATAACACTTAGAACTTCCTTAGACAGCCAAGGAGGCTGAATGT